TTTCTTTATTTTAACATTTATTTAGTGTGTGTGTGTGTGTGTGTGTGTGGCCAGCTCAGCCCACCAGGGGGCGCGGCTTGCTGGCATGTGGTGCTGGGGAATCGAACCGCGGTCCCTGTGCTTTGCCAAGCTTGTTCCAAGTAGGTGCTTTAGACCACTGAGCCATCTCTCCAGCCCTTTTCTCATGTTTCTGAGAAGACTTTCTAAAGATAGAGGGTTATTTTCTTTTTCTAAGTTGTAATAAAATCCACATAGCATAAAGTTCACTGTTTTAGCAATTTGTGTGGTGCTGGGATTTGAACCCAGGGCCTTGCCCATGCTAAGCAAACACTCTGCCACTGATCTTCAGCCCCAGCCCTAGTGTATCCATTTTTAATTGTGTACATGTCACTGCTGTGCCTCTGCAGAGCCTTTGGTACCCTCATCTGAAACTGCACCCATTGAAGAGCTCCTGCCCCGGGGGCTGCCGCCCTCTTCTTGTCTTCAGGACTCTGCACTCAGTGCTGCTGGGAAATAGAATCATCAATGTGTGACTTGCATAGCAGGCTTATTTCCCGTAGAATGATGTCCTCAGAGTTCATCCATGTTGTAGCACAGACAAGGTTTCTTTCCTTTTTGAGCTCACAGTGCCCCAGAACTCATGCCTCACATTTTGTGCATCTGTTCAGTGTTAATGGCGGCCCTTTTGGTGATGTCATAGGGACAAACCTGAACCATCCGGTGTAGAGATAACACCTATGAAGACTGGAATAAGTTCAGGCAGAAACTGGGCAGTGTGTACGTCTTCTCTTGGTCCAGGTAGAGGACAGTGACCTCTTGTTTTCTCCCAAAGGCCATGGAAATAGCCTCTCAGAGGACTGAGGAAGAAAGGTCCAGCCAAGATCATGTGGACGAAGAGGTAGGGTTTGTTCTCTGTTCACAGCTTAAGAGACTGTTGTGTTCTGAGGTTCTTGTGCACACAGCACGTGTATGTACTGGTGGAGCATGAGCCTGATTTTATAGATGGTATATAATTTGTTGAGCTAAGTTGAATGGTTTACATTTCATTCTGTTGTTCCCCGCACCAGCTTGTTACCTTGTTGTCCTAGTAGAGAAAAACTGTTAAAGAGCTATGGACTATGTGAATCAAAAAGCGTAAGTCTGAGCTGGCTGTGGTGTGACACACTTGGAATCCCGAATTCTGGGTGGCTGTGGCAGGAGGACTGCAAGCTCCCAGCCCAGCTCAGACAATCTGGTAATCACTAGCGAGACCCTGTCTCAAAATAGAAGTTTAGAAAGGGCTGGGAGGGGACTCGGTACAAAGGCCGTTGAGCTCACTTCCCAGGTGTGTGAGGGCTGTCTGATTTTGAATTTTTGCTACTTAAAGTTGATTCCATATATATCATAGATTTAAAATACTGAACCTTTGGTGAAAACTATTTTAGTTGGGAGGAAGCCAGCATATTTTTTAAAAAGAATCCATGGAATTTTTGTTTTTTTAAAGTCTTACAACTCTTAGTGTGATACTGAGAAGAGGTGCCTCTGGGATTTTTTTGTTTGTTTGTTGTTTCTTTCTTTTTTTTCTTTTTTTTTTTTTTTAAGATGGTCTCACTTTGTAGTGCAGGCTTGTCTTGAATTCACTGTATAGCCCAGCCTGTTTGGAACTTGAAGTCATCTTCCTGCCTCAGCCTCCTGAGTGGTGGAATCACAGGCATGTGCCACCACGTCTGGTGCAAGGTGTCGGCCAGGCTGCATGACATCCCAGGCAGTAGCTTCTGTCGCTCTCCCTTCTCAGAGGAGCATTTCAGAAGGCACACGAGTGGGAGGGGTGAAGGAGAGCCAGGGTGATGGGAACGTTTTCCTTAGAATAAAACATAAAAAATGGAGTGTTTGATGGTTAGTAGTAGCGGATTGCTTTTGGCAGCACCAGTGCGTGCAGCCAACTGGGCTGAGTTCATGCTGGAGCCGGTGGTAGAGCCGTACTCCTCCGGGGCCTGCCTGAGTGAGGGGACTGAAGGACCTGGGGAAGCAGGCCGCTAACGTGTTGGTTCGCTGCCCCCCACCTTGCAGGTGTTTAAGCGTGCGTACATCCCCAGGACTTTGAACGAAGTGAAGAATTATGAAAGGGACATGGATATAATGATGAAGCTGAAGGAGGAGGACATGGCCATGAGTGTGCAGCAGGACAACGTGAGTAGCTGGCTTCTGGTGAAGCCGCACCCCACACATAACCATCCTGAACCCATCTCAGGCTCCTCAGGCCTGAGTGTGCTGTGTGCTAGTGTGTGCACATGCCACCTGGTGTATGTGTCCTCAGAAGGCAGGGGCTGTGTGAGGGTGAGATGGGTGTGACCAAGCCCCGCAACCTGTAATTACAGTTGAGTGAGGCTCATGCAGGAGCCTGGCTGGGCGGGGTTGCCCTGTATCCCTCATTACGCATTCCATTAATGTGCATATTTCAGGAAGAAGTTCTTTTTCTTTTCTGCCTCACCTC